TTTTCTCAATTATCCTTATTTTTTGGGAAAAGATCTAATTAGTATAGAGTTAATGAAATTACAGGTAAAGGCCTATGTTAAGGGCATTTGGCATTATGTTCACCCAAAATCTACGGGGTTGATGATCCATTGCTGAATCCTCGGATGGAACCAAACCTTTTGAGGCTAGGCTTTGTCGTTGCTAAAAAGGTTGGCTAATTTCATCAACAAGAATGTTGTGTAGATACATTTTTAAGTGGATAATTACTTTGTTTATTGCCATTAATCATTTGGATATTTGTTTAAAGTTTATTTAGTTTTGTTAATGAAAATCTCCTATACAAGTGTTTGTTTCAAAATATATGAACTGAGCAAGATAGCATGCATAATTTTTTTCTCCATCTTCCAGTATAAATTAGATATTTGTTACTTCATATTGTTACTCAATATACGCGAGTTTTTTAATATTTGCTTGAACTACTATAAAATCTTCTTCAACCACAGGCACCAAATACCCGTGCGATGCGCGGGCATTTCCCTCCTAGTATTTAAAAATGTGTCTGACATGATGTTTGGGTGAACCACATAAATCAAGTACCCCTAAAACAGGTAAGTAATGTAGATGTGGGCACTTGGACTTGACAAATACTTAATGTACATATGAGCACTTGGATTTGACAATTAACAATTGACCCAATTTAGAAGCTAACTTGATAATTTGCTTGAATTCCATTGTCAATTTTCAAGTCACAAATCGAGAGGGTGACAATTAACTTGGTCAGTTTTCAATTGTCAAATTACTGTCAAGTGTAGTAGCTAAATTTTTTTGTCGTTGAACTAGCTAAAGCGCTATTGGCCTTTGGCCCGGTGGTCGGGAGGTCAAGGGTTCGTCCCTTGACTCCCACCAAAAATTTGACTCCCACCAAAAATTTGTTACAATATGTGACGGTCTTAATTGGTCATTTTCGATAGAGTTTCTACTCACATCGAGTCTCTTTTTCCCTCCTCCTTAGATTATTAGATTAGATTATAGGAATTCTATCGTTGTGACAAAAAAAAAAATTCCATGCTTCCTTCCGACGCATCTTCAATTATCAAGCTTATTAATGAAAAGGAAGACTTTTTATTCATTTTGGGCACAATAATTGAAGATTTTCATTTGGCTTTATTAGATCAGTACATTGTCAATGTACTTCGGATTTCAAGAGAGGCAAATAAGGTTGCACACTGTTTAGCTCATCATGCAAAAACTCTTTAACTTTTTTTCAATTTGATCCACTAAATGAGTTTAACTCGAGTTGACCCCGAATTGAAGCATATACTAGAGGTCAAGTAAAGTTTTGTTCATGGACAACTTGATTTAGCATATAGTAGGATAAACTTGTATTTTTAGTTTTTACTTGAATGCGATCTTTTTCTTAGCCTAAATATTGATATTAATTATGGAACTTATTCATTTATTGGGCTAGGAGAATCCAATGTTTAATCTAATTCATTTATTTTTGAATCGGAGATGATACAATATGCCTATATATAAATTATTTGTTATTTTTTTAAAGGACAAAAAGGTGTACAATTGATGTTCACGTTACATGTCCAATAAAACAACCGACAAACGAAGCAAGATGATATTGTGACATGTGTGCTATGGGTTCACGGAGCACTGTGCTCTGTACAATCTAAATTGTAATAGTTAACCTCCTACGTTTTTGTTTTGAAATGGGTAATTGGGCAAGTAATAATTCTATCTTTCTCCTGACTAGAGCTATAAACGAGTCGAATCGAACCGAGTATCTCATGTTTGAACTTTGTTCATTAAATGATTCGAATAACATTCGTGTCATTCGTTAATTTTCGAACTCCAAACCTGTGTTCGTGTTCTACTCGTTAAGCAAAATTTATGTTCGAGTTCGAATTCGTGTTCGGATCATTTAACATAAACGAGCCGTTCACGAATATGCTCGAAATGCTTGAATTCAAATTATTTTAAACCTTAAATATGCGATACAAATCATTAATCATTCTAAAAAACAATTAAAGTACTAAGTGACTAAATTCTATTATTCATTAACAATATAACTAATATTAACATAAAAATAACAAATAAAACCCTCCAAATAATAGTCTAGCCATAAAATTAACCCTAAAATTTGTCAAATGATAATTATGTCCATGTTCGCGAACGTTCGTTAAAACTCGCGAACATGCTCGTGTTCGCTCGATTATTCACCGAACAAAAAAATTCGTTCGAACTCAATTCGTTTAAAGTTTCGAACGAGTTTTTCACGAACACGAACGTGACGAAACGAATTGAGCTATCGAACAGTTCGGTTCATTTAACAGCTCTACTTCTGTCTCTAAAATTCATTCTCTCTTTTTTTTTTTTTAAAAAAAAATCTTTTTCTTTTGTACTTTTCTTTTATTTTTTTACCCTCTCGCGCCCTTCCCCCCACACTATTTCTTGTCAGATATAAGATTTGAATTTTAAACCTAATAGCGGCTAGAATTTTGAAAACCCTTCCCTAACCAACCACTGGGGGAGGGGGGTGAGAACTTTGAGAACACTCTCCTAACCATTAGATCAACTCTAATGATTCATTCTCTTTTTCTTCTCTCTAAAATTCCCCTAACCAAATTCTTGTTTAATTCACCATGAGAGAGACCAGATAATCCGGTCTTTCCCCGGAGAAAGAGTCACTTCCCTGGTTTTATTTTTATTTTTTTACTAATCTCAGAAGTCAAATCCAAATTTTTCTTTGAATGTGAAGGAATTTTTACTATTAGAAGACATGCATGCAGATAGATTTGTTGTTTCACTTGATTTTATTTGTGCCAAATTGATTTCAGATCGATCTATATATATCATATTTAATGTACTTACCGCTATGAGTGCAAATATTTTATCCAAAAAAAAAAAAAGGTATTTGGACGAACCGAACGGATAAAATCCCCCTAAAACAAATCATAAATTAGACCGAGTAAATTGTCTCCGTTTAGAAGCAATTTACTCGGTCAATTGTCAATTGTCAATGGCCAATTGCCAATTTACTTGGTTCAATTATTGGTCAAGGAGTCAATTTTCCGCCGTCAATTCATTGGTCAATTGGAGAGCCGTAAACGATCCGAAGTAAGGCGGAATACGTGTTCCATGTTTGAACTGTTCATTTCCATTAAAAGCTTGTTTTTGTTTTAAAGAAGTTCAACGTGAAACTCGAGTTAATAAAAAAAAGAAGAAGTGATACTCGAGTTTGAACTGACATTTTTTTTTTAACAAAAATAAGCTTAATTTTTTTTTAAAAAATAGCTTTTTAGCATTTTTTTGGTAAAAAAAAAGCCCTTGTTTGAGTTGAATTTTTTTTCATGAAATTTTTTTTTGAATTTTTTGCAAATATTCCCTCTATATATTTTTTTAATTACTTTTTTTACCTCGCATATGCCACATCTTAAAAACCAGCTATAAAAAATGCAATCTGAACTAATCACAAATAAATGAGAAATGCCACCATGAGGCAATATTTTGTGTACCTCCTTGTTCAATAGCCACGCAATCATTCACCAAAAGGCGTGTGTTCGTTCATTTAAATTCATTAGTTAAGCTTTTATGTGGTGTTTCAACTCAATTGGTTCAATCGACCGAAAAAGCCGAATTCTGAGTTGGTCAGTTTAAGCATCAATTTTGAATTAAAATCAGTTGGATAACAGATCTAAGAGAATAAACATGCGCAGATAGTTATGAAGTAGCTCGTGTAATTCATTAGATGTTATGGTCTGTGATCAACAGTGTAATATTTTATATTTCGTAACTCTGTTAAATCTAATGATTTTTCAAATCAAATATATGTGTGACATATTTTATATATTTTCTGCCATTAGTGTAGAGTTCTTTGTCAAACAAATCATATTGGACATTTTTCACTAGTTTATTAATAATATTGACTTTTGTTCTATTTTAAAAAAAGTATCTATATTCAATTGAAATTCAAAGAGATTGATATAGAGTATGTATGGATTGGACTACTTTTGACATGCACATTTTTTATTGTGAAATTTACAGTAATACATTCTAAAAACACTCTATAATATATACTCAAAATGTTTTAAATACACCTAATAAAAATACAAAAAAGAATTAAAAATACCAAATCCTACCCTCTCTTTCTTCTTTCACTCATCACCCACCATTGCCATCATCGCACCCTCTCCCCTCTCCTCCCTCTTCCTCTTCACCTTCCTAATTCCTTCGCTAGGAAGGGAGAGGGAAAGACTAACAAAGGAAGGAGGAAGGCGAACGGGAAAAGGGAGGACAGAGAGGAGGGAGAGAGATGGTGATGTGTGAAGGTGGTGATGTGGCGGTGGCGGCAGTGGCAAGGAAGTTAAAAATTTTTTGAAAACATTCTAATAAAATTTAAAAATTTAAAATATCCCAACAAATAATTATATGATGACAAGTTTTTCTCATGTAGTGCTACAGTATCATTTTTAAAAAAGAATTAATCCATAAGGAGTAATAGATTTAAAGGATTGCCATCTAAAAGGTGGATCTCAAAGAAGTTAGATGAAGCACATAAAGCAACACATATCCATTTACGAAGAACCATTTCAATTTTCCAAAATCAATTGTTTGGACCAACAAAACAATTTTTCAAATTTAACACACTATTGTCTCTCTGCCAAATATTTTGACTAAAATTTTGCCTGAAGTAAGGGGTTAACTTCACTTGTACCCTTCGATTATACTTCACTTTGATCTTTAATCTTTAAAGTGGACTAATTTAATCCTTGAAGTATAAATCTATCCAACTTAGTCTGCTGAACATCATCTTGAAATAAAACATAGCCCATCAATTTCTTCTGCAACTTGAACTTTACCATTGCCAACATCAGGTTCAAAATGCACCCAATGGAAGTCTTATATCCGTCATAAAAAAAAAAAAATTTTAACGTATGTTCTATAGCAGGATAGGCATTTAGAAGCTTTATGGTCTAAATACTCCAAGCTTGCATTTAACAAACTCCGTGGATGGCATCAAGGATTGTTATTTTTCCCTTTTTTGGGTATAAGAAAAATGCTTTCTGTGTCGAAGGATGATGGTCTAACTTCAAATTTGATGCAAGACAACACTGGCATCACAATTGGATCAGAATAATGTTAAATCAACTAAAACTTGAAAAGCCTCTCTTGCTTGAATTGACAATAAGCTTATCAGTTAATTCGACTGGTGAAATGGAAGCCAGAGTCATAAGGTGGCTTAAAGGATCGATATCCTGGCAAGTGGGAATTATCAGTATTTTGCAAGCCATTGAATGGAAGGGGGTTACAGAAGGTGCTTGTTCTGCTGAAACCCGTGCTTCTGAAATCAGATGCCAGTTTTGCGATTCCAGTTGCGATGCTGGCTGTGGTATGCTGACACTTCCTTGCATAAGCTGCTCCAGAGAGGCAGATTCAGGCTCATGCAATGCCCAACTTGGAGTTGACAGAAGAGAGAGAGCACATGGCAAATTTTGCGATTCATTCAAGTGAGATTGAGCATGTCCAGGAGACACATCCTCCTACAAGCATTCAACAGGCAATGAGGAGTCCAATCATGTATTAGAAGACACAAACAGCAACAGGTAAAATATACTCAGTACAAGAAGTTACTGTAGTTTGTTTGTTTTGTTTTTCTAAATAATCTCAGTGATAGGATTATTCTCTGATGAAAAAGACAAGCCACTGAGCATACTTCTTTATTCAAGTCTGTTATGATTTTTGTTTGTTTTGGTTTTATGCCACATGAATAGCAAATTCTAGTAAATTGATGAAAATTGCGAGCTTCAATGAAGTGTAAACTTGAAAGGTTGTAAAATATCAGCCTGGAAGGGTTACAAGAAACTCCCTCACGGTAAAGATGGATCATTCAAAGAAAGGGGAAAGATTCAACAGAAGCATTAATAGACTCCATGTAGATAACCGGGCTAGATGTACTGAAAAACGTGTAGAAAACAAGGTAAACTGGACCTTTGGATTCAATCCCATCTGTGTAACAAAGCGTTCTTGGACCTAGGTGTCTGGGATTGGCTAAGCTGAGTTCAAAGTATGAGCTAACTTGTATGTTTCCAATGCTGCAATATTTCTGATGTTGCTTCTTTAACTGTGATACTCAATAAATTTGGCAATGCTTGCAACAGAAAAAAGTTTTCAATATGAGCTCTTCAATCAGATGCATAGAAAGGTAGATATGATGTTACTGTCTAAAAACTACGACTTCAATTGGTTTCGCAAAGGCGGTGGAACTCACCTTAATTTGCTTAAGTGAGTGTATTAATCAGAGTTCTTATGCATCTCTAGTTGGAAATAGGAGGAGACATTTTTTCATCAGGTATTAAAGGAGCTGAGCTTTGAAAAGAACAGGGCGGGCAATCCTCGTCCAGGTCCTGGTGAGAAATGGCATTTGGAACCCCCATAAGAAAATATTGCTTCCTATCAACATTACCTGAAGCCCTGATCAGGGAATTTCCTGCATTTGCCATCTTCAAGCCGCTAGAACACTCCCATGTTCTATTTGATGATGAGGATGGCATCCTGCTCAACAGAAAACTCGGTGCTCTCCTTCCTGTGCAGGTCCAGAGTAAAGAGAATACAAGGCATTTCAAAATTTCATGTTTCAGTTTCAGTGGATGAAATGTTAGATAAGCAAATTACAATAATCAGAGCAGCAGAAAGCCAGCATGAAAAATCCTCAAGAGTTTGAGAAGTCACCATATAAAGAAGATGGAAGTCCCATTGAGCTTAGATGCATTGCATCTGGCTGTGGCCTGCGCCGCCTGGCATTGTGATCAGAGAGTCGCCTACGACAGCTTCTCTTTTTATCATCAAATTCCGATAAATTATGGAACCTTTAAAATTAGAAGCCAAATTATGCTGTTTACATCCTTAAAATTTGACCTAACAGTATCTAAAAGTTAAAAAAAAAAAAAACAACTGATGAACAACACAAAAACATTGGTAGATAATATGAATGCAAGTAACTAACCTGCTGCACTGTTGGCAAAACCTTCGCTCGACCCCAGCCACAATGACCTTGGGGCTTTTGGAATGGCTTTCGCAGATTCTGTGGCGGCGATGATAATCTTTAGCTGCTGTAAGGTCAAGGTTGCATCCCTCCACTTGGCAGCGACTAGTTTGCATGCCTTGATGGGACGCTCTAGATCTCTTTCCACTATTGGAAGACAAACTGGAATTAGTTATAGAGCTCAGATGCTTGGAGTCCTTTGGCATTCCAAGTTTCAGGCCAACTACTGGTTGATCAAAGCCAAGAGAAGCTGCAGGTGCTGAATAACTTTCACCTTTCTCCACCCCGATGAAATCTTCTTCCTTTCTATTTTCATTAGGCCAAGAGTTAACTGTCCCAAAATAGTCTCTGTCTAGTTCAGTTGCCTTTCCACCGTCCATGGCAGAATCCTGCGAATGCATTGATGCGGGTACTTTGTCAGTTCAAACTCCATCACAGAGCATGATTACCATATAAGTAGTCCATCTTCATCTTAGCAGAATATCCAAAAAAAAAGTTGCTGTCCTCGATTACCCGATCTTCATCAATTCAAGAAAGATTAGAACAGATTCAGCTCTTGATATCAGAGTGTGATGTGATGATTTCAGTTCCTTTTTGGCAGTGACACAGCGCTTGAACGGATGCAACCATAGAACATGGGCTTGCCTATAGGGAAAAGAGTGTCATGGGGCTATAAGGTAGTTATAATAACTGGATCAATTAGAGCTAGAGAAAGAACTGCAAAAAAGAGAACTGATTCAACACAAGAAATTCCCTGGTTAAGGGGCAATTTTAAGTCGTCCTAGCAACAAAATGTAGGGTGGCTAAGGCTTAGGTAGTTGTGTTGGTGCTCCCTTCAGGAAAACATGCTAGTAGATAGATTGCTGCCAGGGCCTAGAGGAGACCCACTCACCTTAAACTCCAACCAAGGCAACAGAGACAGGTTAAAGAATCAAGCTAAACAACAGCGAGAGGGGTACCATACCACCTTTATAAATCGTCACTTTCGGTCCATTAGCCTTTTGGCAGTCCAAAATTTTCTCTTGTAGCTAGCAGAATCAATCACCAAGTTTGGAATTGAATTCGTCAGGTTCCCATGTGGGTTCCTCCCTTTTTCCGTTTTGGTGAAGACAAAAATGCTTAGCACATGCATTGGAAGACATGGTCCCTGAAGCATTCATACAAATTAATTCACAAAAAAGATTCACCATGCATCCCTATTTTTTACTGTAATAAAGGAACAGTCGTATGTAAAAATTGACTTCACTCTGTGATTTCATCATCGTGTAAAATAAAAGGGTTGTTCTTTCTTGTGTAGCTTAATTGATTTTCTCCATACTGTATGTAACACTTTAGAATGTGAATACAACCCTTTGTTTTGCGCAAAGTCTAGAACTAGCCTAAAACTGACTTGCTTCAACTCTTGGAGTAGCTGCAGTCAAGAATTTCAACTTAATTCAAGGCTTATGATTTGCATATATGCAATCCAAAATGTTATCTGAAATTTAGCCTCCATGGCATCAATTGGGGTTCCTGACTTTTCTTCCATGAGCCGAGACAGGCAAGAAAATATCTTAGTTGCTGGTAGTGGTAGCAAGAAAGTTAGCCTAGAAGTATTCCTTGGCCAATGAACATTCTTACAAAGTCTAGCTGTCCAATCTCTCTCCAATAATTTCAGAGAAATCTTACTCCTTCATCTTTCTGCAAATAGGAAACTCTGCTACACCATTAATAAGCTCTCAATAAGGTTGGTGCAGGAGCATTAATCCCTGCAATTTCATTGTCAACTACTATATTGTGCAATCAATCAAAACTCTCTTTCTTCAATGTTGATGGGTGACCTCACCAATGTTCCAAGACTCACGACGCTTTTTTGAGGAAATCCAAAATGAATTCTACACAGTTGATGCAGGAACCAGTACAGCCACAAAAGCTGCGTGTGGCATTCAGCAAGCGCAAGTCATTTTGAACTGTTGTGTTGTGCTTTTTATCGGATGCCAATTCAATCATTCACCAGTTGTGAAAGAAGCTCTTGGCCCTCGCAGTAAATGCTCTGAAAAGGGTTTAGCATTTTTCGTACAAAAACATGCTTAGAACTAATCCAGATTGTGAACGCTCCTCCTCCCCGTGGTCGTCTAAATCACACATAACCTATTACTATTGTGTAAATATCCGCACTAACAATTATTATTTTTTCTTACATTTATACGCTTTTCTGATATAAATTCGTGTTTTCTACAAATTTACTCTCGAAATCAATTTTAACAGGTGCCCAGAGGACGCTCAAGCGTTGAACAGACTCGTTTATCAATCTGGCGCACCTAACCTTTCCTATAAATATCTTTGGCATCATTGTCGTTTCATATTAGGTAGCATTTTGGAAACAACCAAAGATAGAATCAGAATTACTCGCCCAAATAGCATGTGAAGAATGCAAACTATAATAATGTTTCGTGTTTTATCACTTCATTGTGTGTCAAACTGTCATATCATATGGATTATGATGAACAAATTGCTTCTTGGAAGTGGTTGCAATAAAAGTAAATAACTGGACCGGACAAAAGCTGTAGATCCTCTTGTCTTTACTTATTTGGAAGCAATAATTCAATAGCAGCAGATTGTAGTTGCCGACGTAAATAACCAAAAACAGCAGTAACTAACTAGTAACTAGGACACAGTCACTTAAGAAACAGCTCTAAATTATGCACATCAATAATTCAACAATTGACAAAAGAAGGGTATTTTTCAGCACTGCCAAGTTGTACCCAAATGAGTAATCAAAAGTAAGCGCCAAATCTGTATTCCCTAATTGTGAGCACTCAAACTGGCGGATGCTGATTAATTTTCGACATTCCAAATTCGACACTATATATATTAGTACTCTGAGTTATCCATGATTAGAAAATTGTCAAATGTTATAACATCTAGCTTGCAACACCGTTTATGAAAATGTTAAGAAGGGAAAAAGGATCATTGATGTTCAAGGCTGATGATCTAGCCCCTTGACACAGATATTTGATGTCCTCACACAAATGTAATCTCACTTTTACACGAGTCCTTTTTCCTATTGAAAAGAATCAATGGCAGTTTCCAACGTCTTCCTCTTAACGATTCAAATCTCTAACGTACCGATTACCAGTAAATCGTTTTATCAACTAGATCACGATTTGTCGTCGTTTTTACTAAAATCTTGAAATTCTTATAATCTTTCCCAGGCTAAGAGACCATAGATTGATTCTATCATACCACCTATGGCTATAATCGAGCCAACTTGAAGGATGGTGCAATATCATGTAATTTGTGGGCATGATTTTGGTACAACATTATTGTAATCCGAATCCCATGCATTTTCCTCGTGGGAAAATCAAAATATATAGCTGCATCAGAATTTGATTGTCTTGTCTACAGCACAGACCGACAAGTACCTTTGTCACCACAAGTAATATCTACGTCGTTCTCATCCTCTGCTGAATTTAAAGATGTACATAGGAGCTACAGCTTGGGCAGACTCTTGGAATTGAAGCACCCAAATAGGTCCCCAGTGGCAATAGTTGGGTTTGATGTCAAGAATTACTCCCTAGAATTCAGTTGGACAAATTCCAACCACACTTTTCCTCACAACCTATGCAGAGCCAAAACTGTTGCAGTTTGAAGGACCATTCTCTCTACCACACCAATCAATGCGCGTATTCAACAAAAGCGGAGGCCGCTCTTTTCACTGGAGACTACATGCCAGAATTATTAAAATAGAGCATGTCAAAGTCACATCAACAAGTATATATATATATATATATATATATAGGGCATGTCAAAGTCACATCACCAAGTTTATATATATATATATATATATATCGAATAAATCTTATACACGTCAATTGGCTGGATGGTCTTGATTTGTGAGCTCCACTTTAGATTGTGCTTTGCACCGGAATTTTTTGATTACCTCTGAGTGTTAATCTGAGAGAGAGAGAGACGGAATCAGGATTTGAAATTTTCTCCCTGCTCCTCCTCATCCCCAACAACTTCATTGTACAACCAACTACTTCAAACAATCAACAAATATGTGAGCGAGAGAGAAAGGAGAGGATGAGAGATGGTCTGTCTGAGGTAAACGAAATACCACCTTAAAAGATCACAGTCAGTGACGTCCAGTCATATGACCATTGCAGCAGCCAAAATAACTACACCTAATTCCATCCGGTTTATAACATCGTTCTTCCTGCTATCCATCTCGGACCACTATGAACTACTCCAACTCTGTTTTTGGTAGCTTCTTACTACCGTCCAAGTTCAGAGTATCAGCCAGGTTGTCTGACAGTTGATTAATTGGATCAGCAAGAGCAATAGTAGAGTTTCCTGTCACACTAGCTCGTTGCTTTGCCTTCTTTTCCAACAAGGCTTTCTCCCGCTCATCATAGAATGTAAAATCATCTAAAAGGGATGTATCAGCTTCATAGTCCTTGAAAATCTTAAGCATTTCAATTCCTTGCTCAAGTTTCACCTGAATAGAAGTCAGTGGTTAGTCATAATGGGAAAATAGCAAATTCAACAAAATGATTTAAAGCAGTTACTAGGAAAGATCAAAACTTTGAAAAACTTGCTAGAACTCTCAAAAGTATCAAGCTTTGTCTGTAACCTCTAGAAAGATGGATGACATTTATCTCAATGTCCCAAAGGGCCTATACAAGACCCACATGTCAATGGTGACACAAAAACCAAAGACAAGTAGATCAATTAGTGTTTTCCACCCATGCTCGGAATTTTCTTGAGCAAAAAAGGTGCTGTTTCAAAACCAAGTCTAATTCTTTGTGATCATTACAAATTTTGGGACGGTAGAGGTGGGGGAAGAGGAGAAAAATAAGATGTAACTCTAATTTAAGGGGATAATTCAAAGCTCAACAGCTTCATACTCAGAAACACAATTTCAAGACGCAAATAAAACAAATACAGAACCCCTCACCTCTTGAGAGTCTCGACTGTGAGTAACAGGCTTGTTGTCATTATTTTCAAGAAGTATGTGGCGGAACCGACTATTGGGCACATCTTTGACAACATGCCATTTCACAGGGAACTGCCCGCTCCACCTATCCTGCTGCCAGTACTCCGCATCATTTTCAAAATCAACAGGTCCAACCATCTCAGCTATCCCACAAAACTGTCCACTAGCATTTACCTGAAGGATACAAATAGTACATTGACAAAAGGTCTTTAAACTATCAAATTAATGACCAGGGTAAGGTTGAGGCAATGAAAAAGCAATGTATCTAGTATAATTGTTAAAAAAAAAAAAACAAAATTAAATACTGTTTACATTCAATAAGGTCACTTTTGGTTACACGTAGTGAGTTCATTCTTCCATTAACCGATTCACAATGGATCTTGGTCATTGATGTGTAAGTTACACGACCTCACAAGTCCCCAGACCATCTATACAAATATTTACAGGTGTTTTCCTTATCAGCACGTTAAAGGCAAAATTGCCACCACTCACCAGAACGTTGGTTTAAAACAGCCCCTGTACCTATTAACAATGACCCACCTTCCACCAGCAACTTATTCTGAACTCTCTAACTAAATGCTCCTTGTTCATATTCCTCAAAGTTGCTTTTCACTGCTTCTCATGAACTTATGTATCACATTACCTAACTTACAGTTATATGAAGAGAGGGACGTGGCAGAGGGGGAAGGGGGGAAGGGGGTGAGAGAAAGCATGATCACAATAGATTATGAGTGTCA